AAATTTTGTCAACCTCACATACGAGGTTTTGCATCACTTGAAACGCGGTTTTTTACTTTAACGACGATATGTGTACATATGTACATAAGTACATATATGAGCAAGCACTCCATATAAATATACAATCATACATTCATGTATAAACAAATAAATCGTTAATAACTGCATATTTACACTTTCGCGCGGTTAACTTTTTCTGTATTTCCGTTTTTCGATCTTCAACAAATAGTCACCCAAGTGATGAGTGTCTCTCTTGGCCACCGTCTGCACATCGTGATCAACATGAACCACCATCCGTAAATACGTTGAGCGCCTGACTGGTCTGCTTAATATATTTACACAAGTGACTATCAGGCTTCGGATCCAAGTCGACCAGTGTTACTTTGGTGAGAAAAGTTTTGCCGTAGCATGGCATTACTACGCAATGCTTCGATAGCGGCGACTTCGTTAAGTTTCTGAAAAGAAATTAAAAAAAAAAAAATATTAAATATGCCATTAATTACGCGCGGTGCGGCAGCTGTATGCGATTATCAGTCCACTTACGATGGTTGCGAATGTGGTGGTGGCACTTGATTGCAAAGTGAAATTTCCTGAAAAGCCAGCATAATCGAGCAGTCCAACGCAGTGGCGCCCAGTAGATATGCTTCCGTTGGATTTAACTCAACTGCTGCCACCGGCTGGTTGCGTGAACGTTGCAGCAAAGATTTTAAGGCGTTGTATGATTTTTCCGACTTATTCGCATAGCCTGCAGCATGCAGATCGGTCATATGGCGCTGCAGCAGAACGAAAGACAGATTGAGTGAGAAATGCGATAAAAATGTCACTTGAATGCAAAAGGAAATATTGACGACACTGTGAAATGTAAATTAAACAAAAGTTGACAGTTGCCAGTAGGCAAACGGCAAACGGCAGTCGGCCACTGCAACCAAGAGCAGAAGCTGACAAGCCAACCAAACAAACGCTGGCCGAAAGCACAAAATAAGCCCAATATATGCAATTACTCGCAATGAATACACATTTTGACGTATGTGGCAGGCAGCGTTTTTTCTCTATTTTTTTTATTTATTTTTTGGTTGTGGTGGCCTCAAAGTCGTGGCAACTTTTCATTTCCCATTACCTTGGCCAGCATCCAAGTGGAAATTACTTGCTGCATACTTTTCGACCAGCGACCAACCACTTGAGTGGCAGTTTTCCTATTTTACATGCAAGCACATACAAAAAAAAATTAAATAAAAATATAAGCAAACTTTAGGGGTATCACTTTTTATGGAGCTTTCATTTTTATTCATATGAATGCTAGGAGAGGTCATACAGTTCGTTGAAGCAATAGGATAGAGCGGCCTTTTTACATATCTAGCACTCTTGACGACTTAATACCTCTTAACAACATATATATATCGCCGAATAAAAGAGTAAATAAAGGAGCTACTATTTCAAACCCTCTACGCGACCAATTAGTTCCTGCTAGTTACTTTTAAAGACGCCTGAGAGACTGCTTGAGAGCCAACCAAAAACGGTATCCCCAAGAAATGTTTGTACTCAAGAGCATCTCGATAGCATTTGCTAAGAGATTAATACTGATTCTCACAGGGGGACTACACTGCTGATGCCTTCCTAGCTATCTAGGAGACCTTCTTGCCCGAGGCAATCATACACTGAATCAAAAATCCATCTCTGGATCAAAGAAAAACTTTGCTTACTTTAAGGTCGAAAATTCTTCCGAATGAGTAAAAAATTCTCCCGAATGCGTAATTTTTCTTTGAAAAGTGTAAAAACGTACACGATGTAATCTATCATTTTGAAGAAATGTTGGCCATGAAAAGAGGATAAAACTTCTTTAGTGCTGTTTCGTTCCCATTTTTCTTCATTTTGATTTTCAATTAAGAGAAGTTTTTTTTTTGGATGTAAGCCTTTAGAAAACTAGACGCCGGGTTCGAGCTTATGGGCGAGGAAGCGCTTTCGTGCAGAGCCGTACGGTGGTGATATGGACGATCTTTTCCGAATTAATTTCTAAAACCATTTGAACGTCGATTCGACTCATAATTGAAATCTTTACTTTTCTTTATCATATGGACAAAGGAATAAAAAAAATTGTTTTTCGCAAGTTATGCAGATTTCTAAATTTCACAATTTCCAGGATTTGCAAGTTTATTTTTTGAATATCTCAAAAACTATTATAGTCACAACAATGCTTCTCGTCTCGTTTCAAAGGTGATTTCGCTATAAAGGAAAAAATGTATTTAAAATAATTCGAAAATAAAAAAATTTACAAAATTTTTAATTAAAAATATCGGCAAAATAAAAACTTATAAAATCTTTTTTTTTTTATGAAATACCTTCAACTGATCTTAAAAGATCCTGAAATTTTAAAAGTTTTTTTTAATATTAATTTTTGAACTTGGGAAACATTTTTTTTTTCAAACACCAAGTCAAGTTATGTTAAAAAAATTTTGTTTTATCTAAATTTATTTTTAGTTTGGAGTTTACGAAAATATTTTTTTGTTTTTTTTTTTAATTTAAAAATTCATATATATAGTATTTAGCAAATACACTCTTGAAATTATCAGGATCTTTTAAGATCAGCGGGAGGTATTTTATAAACTGAGCCAAAAATGTGTATACGATTTGTTAAATTTACAGATTCTGCTATTCGATTCTTTTAATTTATTTTTTACATAGCCCCAAATATAGCCAGAACCACTTTGGTAACTACGTATAATAGTTTTTGAGATATTCAAAGAATAAACTTGCAAAATCTGGAAAATTTTTAACTTTGAAAAAAAATTTTTGTTTCTTTGGCAGAAATTTGTTATATGATAAAAGAAACGTCGAAATTTTGCGATAAAAAAAGTATTCTTTCTACTCTTGTAGTGACCTCAACTTTTGTTTAAAAATTTAAATTTTCTTAGATGTCTTGATTTTGTAGGTAGAATAAAATAAATGGATGCCCTATAGAAAATTTAGATGTTGATATTTTTAAGGACCACCCACCCCTATCTGCATATAGTATGTAGATATGTATATTTGATTCTTTATTCTGCAACATTTGTCGCGTTTATTATTGTTCTTCATTATTTAAGCTGCCATTTTTTTATCTTATTTTCTTTTGCTTTTATTTGGTTTTATTACGCTTTGTCTTGATTTGTTCCATGGTTGGCTTGAAAAATCACCAGCTCGTTGAATGTAAATCCCACATTGGTGCACCATATTGTTCTTTCTTATTTCAAGCAGCATTTATGCAAACACACACACACTCTCATATGTGTACATAGACATTACACTAAATACAACACTCAAACTGCATATTTCCTCACCTTGGCCAACAATTGTAGATGCAAAACTTTTTGCAGGACACAATTTTTCGGTAAGCACAGTGTTTCCACTTCGGTGATTTGTGCTTGCGAAGTTGTCTCCAATGCCGCTGTCCTTGCCGTCATCGTCGTCGTCGTCGCCTTCGTCGGTAAACCTTTCGCAGTCAAGCGTGCTGCCCTTGCTGCCACTGTGTAGGTGTCTTCTTCTACTATAAGCTGTGTTGGCATTACCTTACTTCCTTCCATTTCATTTTCTTCCTCGCTCTCTGCCTCTGTTTGTGCTACGCTTTTCTGAGTCGCATTTAAGTGTGGCTGACCAGTGACAGCTTTGGCTATTCCACCCACGTCAACGACGTCGTCATCGCTTACGCCACTGTTGCTGCTGCTGCTGCTTCTGTTGCTGGTCTCGGCGTCTATGTTGTTGTTGTTCGTGTAGTCCCTTAACAGGCACGCCACTACCAAATCCTTTAAAAGCTCTATTTGGCCGCTGTTGTACATTTTTCGGCATTTTTCACATTTCATTGTCGGTTTTTATTGTTTTTTTTTTTTGTGGTAAATATTGTAGCGTTGCAGTTTTCATTGCAATGTCATGTTATGTTATGGATGTGCCACGTTGACGAAGAGCACACACAGGTTCAGTGCAAAAGAGGTGTTGGCATTCCATCGAGGGAAATGGCGGATGGCGCAAAGTAGCGTGCGCGGGTTGGATTGGTGTAGCGGAAGTGTACAAAAGCGAAAATATTTTAAAATATTTATTTACAGTAGAGGCGAAAAATGGTTGAATAAATAAATTAATTGTTTAGCTTGTGTTATTTATTGAATCTTTTTCTAGCACAGAGTTGAGAGCGTAAAAATGGAGAAAATGAAAATCCCCAAAGTGTTCCAGCGAACGTGCAGCAGTCGGTCCATTGTGGCCGCACTCAACTGCAAATGTAATTGTGCAACCGTGACTGTTTGTTACATTTATTTTCATTTCAGATGCGAGGCGCATATGTAGGTGGCGTTTAAAGAATGAACGGGTAAAATTGTTTGGACAACATGCTTTCATGTAGCACATTTTACAAATTGTTAACAACGTGATTCTAAGTGGTTTGCACATAAATCGCGTTGGAAATATCCTAAATAAAGCGCTTGTTCCATCAAATGTCTAACTAGACAATTTTGTTTCTTGTTAAGAAAAAAGTTGTCCACCAAAGCTTAACTAACGGTAGGCTTAGGGTCTCAGACCAATATGTCTAACGTCTTTCGTACTTAACCCTCTGCTACTGACGTGACCGAAGTCTCTCTATTATTTAGTCTCTCAGACACCAATTTTCTAGATCAGAATATATATATTAGATATTTATTAATAAACTTTTTTTCGATTGAAACTGGTAATTCTATCAATATTTAAAATACTAAATTAATGAAATAGTCATATAAATAAACTATATGTCGAAAAATATATCACGAAAAATGTCGAACCTATTGTAGCGAAACCCAAATTTAAGGGTACAGAACAGGAGCTCTCACAAAGTAACCCAGAGGTCATCAGTTGTCAGTGCAACGCGTGCAATGAGATCCTGCTCAGCGGAGATTCTGAAATTTCTTCTCGACTTACTACCTACAGATATTTTTATTGAAATTTCAACGCAAGCAGAATACGAACTCCAGATTACTAGAAGGAACGGCCACTTAAGCTTAGTGCCATCCTAAGTTGCATGCCACCTGAGGTAAAGGCGCTTTCTAATGACAACATAATACCAAGAACCTAAACTCACCACAAATCCCGCTCAAGATTTCTAAGCTGAACTGACTGGACTAAGGGAGTGTTTAGAGGACATAACTGTCTTTACTGACCGATTAATGATTAAACGGCTGGTAGGTGGAGGTATTTTCAGGGAACAACTCTATTTGAGGCTATCCTTTCGCCCACCGAACCACGCATGCCGCTTGCGGCAAGCGTACTCCAGGGGGGAAAGTTTGCGATCACCACACTGTGGAAAATGAACTTTTTTTGTGACAAAATCGAATATCTCGTAAACTATAACAAATACCTTCACCTTTGAAACGACTTTCAAATATAGGAGTTTTAAATGTTTTCCCGCTTTTTATACCCGAGCGCACTTGTGCACAAGGGTATTATAACTTTGTTCACATAACGGTTGTTTGTAACAGGCAAAACGAATCGAGATAGATATAGACAAATGTATACATAAATGATCAGAATGAAAAGAGAAATCGATTAAGCGGTGACTGTCTGTCCGTCCGTCCGTCCGTCCGTCCGTCTGTGCACACGATAACTCGAGTAAAAATTGAGATATCTTAATGAAACTTGGTACGTGAACTTCTTTTGGGTGTAGGACGGATGGTATTGAAAATGGGCGAAATCGGACAATAACCACGCCTACGTCCCATATAACGGTAATTTTCAGAAATACGAAAACTGCGATATTTTAGTAACTACTGAAGATTATTCACTCAAAATTGATATTTACAATGAGTTTAAGACGAAAAATAAGAATATTTTAAAATTTTGGCAATGTGGGCGTAGCCACGCCCACTTATGGTTACATGTGTATATCTTGGTAACCGCTGCACCAATTTCTTCCAAACTCGGCACAGTTGTTGGCCTTGATACATCATACTAAATGGCCGAAAATTTAAAAAATCGGACAATAACCACGCCTACCTCCCATATAACGGTAATTTTCAGAAATACGAAAACTGCGATATTTTAGTAACTACTGAAGATTATTCACTCAAAATTGATATTTACAATGAGTTTTAGACGAAAAATTAGAATATTTTAAAATTTTGGCAAATGGGCGTAGCCACGCCCACTTATGGTTACATGTGTATATCTTGGTAACCGCTGCACAAATTTCTTCCAAACTTGGCAGTTGTTGGTCCTGGTACAGCATACCAAATGGCCGAAACTTTTTAAAATCGGACAATAACCACGCCCACATTCCATATAACGGTAATTTCGAGAAATACAAAATCTTCGATAAATCAGTAAATATCAAAGCTAATTTATTCAAAATTGATGGTTGCAACAATTCTTTACCAAGAAATACGTTTATGATAAAATTTTGGAAAATGGGCGTGGCACCGCCCACTTGTGATTACATATATGTATCTCGCTAACCGTTCTAGCAATCTGTACCAAACTCGGTATGGTTATTGTGCTTGCCACATAAAAGCAAACCGTTGAAAATTGTTGAAATCGGTCTTAAATTACGGCCGCTTTTCAAATAACAATAAATTTCAGAAATGCTTGAAATTTCAATATGTCGAAATTTAAGGACGCTAATTTACTTAAAATGTATACACCCCGGCTTATCATGTAGCGGTAGCTTTCGGCAAGGTGGAAAACATATCTTTAATACTTGCGCCGGGTATTTAATGTTCGGCTCCGCCCGAACTTAGACTTTCTTACTTGTTTGACCTTAAAATAGATGCGACGTACCTTTTAAAAAGTTTTAAACATATGTATAATATTTTTGCTGTTCTTGCATCAAGGAATCCATGGTCGCAAGAACCGAAAAACAAATTTTTTAAACATTTTTTTTAACAAAAAAGAAAAAAATATAAAATTACTTTTGAAGCTCTCATTGAATAAAAATTAGTTATTTTGGCACGCGGTGTCAACAGAATGAGGCTAATGTCAATGGTCTTGCAAATGGTATTCGCAGGGGCATTGATAATCTTTATTATGGCGTAATGAAGCTTTTATAGGTATGGAGTTACAATTGACAGCCTGTGCTCATTCCTGATTTGTGCTAAGTAATGTGCGCGTCCCGTCTTCCCGATGCGATGCCAAAAAATATGAGTCTTATTGCTCTATAATTTTGCTTTCCCAAGTATTTAAGACATTCTACTTTTCTCTTCGTTTTCCTATTAAGTACATTCGTCGTAGCATTCCGATCTGTGAATTTTTGATTAGGATTAAAGGGCAGTTTCCTTTTTTATCCGAAATATTTTGATTTTCCCTCTCTGTGCAGGTCTCGTAATCCTCATTTTCACCAGATCCCACCTTTGAATCGACGTATAAATTGTCATTCAAGTTTTTTAAAACCAGGCTCACAATTTTTAAACTTTTAAAGGACTAAAATGGTGAACGGGAAATTATCTGAGCGTTCGATAGTCATAAGTACTCTTTCGTGATCAAACCTCGAAGCTAAGAACCTCTCCCCATTACTGTTAACTTCTTCATCTCGGCGCTTCCACCCTCACAGGGGGGAGTTTCAATGATCTCACAGGTTTTCGACTGCTCGATATTCGTGCCCAGTATTGGCACTGAATTCTTGTGTTTAAAAAAACAACTATCGGGCATGTGCTACAAATCGTACGATTTAAAATCGGTGCGATATACGGGACATCTTTTATCTTTCTTGCTTCCCTAATGCATATAGCTTTACTCTTTCCCATACAAAATCAACGGCGACCCTTTTCACGATCTAGACGAGGAGGTCAAGCTGAAACAAGGCAACCATGTCGACGTCACCCAATGCGGACGGTTAAGAACCTGACATTTTTAGTGGTTACATTTAACAGCTTTCTTGCTTAATTAGTTATGCTCGACTGGTACCGGACAGGACGTTCCCAACGGTCATCAGCCAACCTGTAGGCACATTAGAAGGCGATTATATTAACTCATGGACGAGATCTGCATACACATGGTTAGGTTAGGTTAGCCACCCTAGTCTAAGTCAGGAGCCAATTGTTATTCCACGTGGATCCCAAGACCTGTACTCCTTGCACACTAATTCGTGGAGTTTGCGAAACGTTAGCAACTTCCGTATTCGAAACTTTGCAGTTGCGCTCAGATCATCTAAAAATCCTATACCCAGGATTTTTCTCTATTTTCCTGCATAGCGGAAGGCAATCGCAGAGGAAGTGCCTGATTGATTCAGCCCCTTCATCTTCTTAGCAGCTGCAGTAGTCATTGTGACTGAGCCCGAGAAGACATCGTCCCTACCATGTCAAACTATCGAATGTGAAAATGGGTACTTTTCAGGAGAGCAAAAAAGCTGTTGTAAAAAATGTTGTTGTCATTAGGAAAAAGTGTGGCATTCGACACTTTGTTAAAGCCAAAATAAAAAAAGCATTTTTGCATATTCGATAGTTTCACACGGTAGCGACGATATGACCTGTGAGCAAGCCAATGACCAATGACATATCACCTCTGTTGAGTGAGAATTTCTCTTGGTTTCCTTATCCTATTACAGGTTTCCCGTCCATATGTTGCCCGCTTCTCCAAAGAAATATTTCTTTAATAAGAGCTTGCAGAAAGCGAATTCCATAGTATACCCTTCCATCCAGACTGGTGAAAATAGAATGGAAGTACACCGTCTTAAAAGCTCGCCGGCCGTCTCATTTCCTGGTATATCACAGTGTCCCAGTATTCATATCAGGTGCAAAGCAAACTGTTATGCCACGTGATCTGCGGCAGTTGGCAACTGTTTCCGAATTTATAGTGACAGAGTTAAGGGCCGCCTGGCTGCCTGAGTAGATATCGTCACTAGGCACGAATAAAGACGCAAGTTCAAAAGATGACCGCGAAAAAAGACGCGTAAAAAACCTTCGACGAAGAAGAACGGTGAAAATTATTTTCGTACTTGGACATGTATAAAGTGTTTATTCGCGTTTTTTTCGTCGTCAAAACACTCGCGCGTCTTTATTCTTTTTTTTTTTATTTTAGTAGTCGCTGCAACAGCTAGTTTCAAGCTATCAAAAGCTTTTGTATGGCCGCCAATTCGACTTGAACAACACTACAATGGTACGGTATACCCAATTATTCCGAGTCCACTCTGCGATCTAATTTGTAGCCGTCCGCGTAATATATCATAGCATATCTAGACATATATCGCGCACAATCACTGGACCAAACATATTGGAAACAGGCAATAATCGACGACCGTGAATGTCGTCATCGGATTCCAATCAATGCGTATCGTAGATGAAGGCATCAACTGGCCCCAGAGGGCCGGGTACGTTTTGTGCAACTACGATCTCGTTACTGTAGCAGGTCCCGCACACAGCGCACCTACCAATAGCGAGCCGCTTACTCCAAGACGGACGCCGGTTGCAGCAGCACCTACTGGCGAACAAACGCCAGTAAGACTTCAGTGAGCCCTTAAACCGAATAAGTCGGAGTGGCCGCACCGAAGATACCTCTCTCTCTCTCTGCCGTGATCCAAGGCTCCAGTCGGATTGGATACCGCATCTAGCATGGGAGTGCGCGAATGAGGACGCAAGAGTCGGGATTAAGTATAGCCGTCCAACTGCATACTCAGAAGAACGGTTGTACCCCATTGCAGGTTAGGCTCGTATTTATCCAGTATCGACCCCAACATACCCATACGTTTTCACAGGCCTAGTTAAACCTACTTAGCCAACATTCCCCTCTCTTTTGCTAGAACCTGTCATAGCAGCACGTTTGCTATGCCTAACATAAGCTAAGCTCGATAAGCAGGCCTATTAAGTACCTACAGCTAGAATAAAAGCAGCTCGCTGACACTAACATCAGTCACCTGCGAAAGATACGTTTTCAGCACTCAACGCGCTTTACTATAGCAGTAAACGTCTAATAAAGGTGCTATAAAACCATTACTTACAACAGAAATTAAATTTTTCAATATTTAAATTAGCCCAGAAAACCTACTAAGCATAAAAGTCACCTATTTAAATTTACTTTATTACTGAAAGTATACCGCATCGTAATATTAAAGTTGAGAGCGCTATGACTACTTTACACGCATACTTACCTGGGAAAATAGTTTTCAACAAAATCCTCATATAATTGGTGTTCACTGTCGTATATGGAAATTCCGTTACGGAAGATTCTTAAATTATTTTGTGGGCATCGCAGGAGAGCATCTAACGCTGCCAGCATTCTAGCGGGCACGCTGTGGATAATCACGATTAAAAAATAATTGATATCACTTACGTTCTTACAAAAATTTAAATGAAAAGTGTTTTTGCAAAAAACCAAAACTTTCGTTTTGGCAAAAGCTGCTACAACAAACAAAAAAACTTCGTAACTTTGTATAACGCAAAACAGAAAAATTCTACAAAATATTCCAACAGATGCCACACAACTTACCCGGAAAATAGCATCATTGGGCAATAAGAAGTTCGCCTGTTGATTTTACCAGCGCGCAGCTGCATATAAAAATAAAAAAGGGGAAAATATACATATAAAATAATGGAAATAACAAAACGGAAATAAAATAGAGCCACAAGGGGCAACATAAAACCAACGTAAAAAGCGCAACACGTAAATATTACTTACATACATATACATATGTATGTATGTATGTATTTACTTTACATAAAAAAGATGCAAAAGCAAGCAAAGCATAAAAATATATTACGAAAAAGTAGCAAGTGAATAGCAAGTAGGACGAGGGAATCTGTTTGCGGTTCAACGACTGAATTTGCATAAGAAGTACGTTTCAGCAGTGGACCAGAAGCGCAAAATACCCGTGGCAGCGCAATAAAGCACAGCGCATTCAATGACAATTTTCGCTGCGGCAACGTGCTGCTGCATGCATGCACCGGCGGGGGGGGCGAATGAGTGATGACAGCTCCAATGTTGCTCATACCACGTGGCGGCCAATGCTGTTGGGCAATTTCTCGAAATGAGCGACGGAAAACGGAATTGTTTGCCGGCAATGCTGTGGTGTGCCGGTTGTCTAGCGAAGTTGTATTATTTTACTTTGGGCGCTGACTTTATTTTCTTTCGCTTTTATGCATTTGCTTGCTTGCTTGCCTGCTCGCTTGCTTGCTTGATGGCACCTCACACTTGCACCTACCTTCAGATATTGCATCGCACAGAAACGACACCTTGTAACGTGGCTGCTGGCTGCGTTTATAGCCTTGTTTTCTGCTGTTCCAGCTACTTTCTGGTCGTCTATTGCCGCTGCTGTTGCTGTCGCCGTGGCCATAGTATTTGTTCGCATTGGCTTCTTCAGGTCAAATAAATTGTTAACGACATCAGTCGGCAGCAGCCAACCCTGCTTCGGTTTGATTTCAATGGCGTACGTAACGCCGATCAATTCCGCCTTCGATTGCATTTTTTTTTTGTTTTTTTTTTTTTAAATATTTTCCATTTCGACATTGTTGTTTTTAATGTTTTCCATTTGTAGTTGGTGGCACATTTCGTTGTTGTTGTTTTAGTGAAAAGAAAAGAAAAAACAAACCACCACATTGTTAATTGCTCGGAATTGTGCAAGTAAAGCTGGCGGCAAGTGTACATTTGCAACAATAAAGCGAATGAAGAAAACAGCAAGCAAGGCAAAGGATAAATTTTACAATACATTTAAAAAGGAAAGATACCGATTTAAGGCTGCACAGTTCATGCGAGTTAAAATTAAAATTAAATGCATATTGTTCTTTCCATTGGCTGCACAAATTGGAGGAGTTAAAGAAATTAATTAATTGCATGGAAGAGGATAAATACGTGTGTAAAATTTAAAACTGGGAACAATCATAAAACAATAACTGCTGTAGCTTAAACATATGTATGTATTTCACAATCGAAAATCCAGCTTTACAATTGAGATTTTTTTTTACTGCCTTTGAAGTCTGATGTGATAGAATAAGTAAAAATATAAGTATCAGTGTAAGGATGAGGATAAGTTTAGTATAGGTATAGATATAAGTTGGGTCCACTTGTCAAATAAGGTTAAATTGGCGAAACAAAGAATAAAGGAAAATGATTTTTTTCAAACAGCGTAATTTTCGGGGTTTTCATTTTAGCGATTTGAAAATTTTGAACAAAAAGGGTATTTTATAAAGCATTTTCACATTATCATAGCTTACGGCTCATTCGCAGTTCATAAACAAATCAAGTAATTTTGCCACGTGAAATTTGTCAGTAAATGCGACATTCGCGAAAATTCAACCATTTTCAAAAATTTGCTATCATAATTTTAAATTTTTTAGTCAGATTTTTTAGAAAGTTTTGGGCATGAATTTTTATAGCCAATTTAATTTCAGTATAATAAGGTGCAAGTTCGAAGTTGTGCATTTTCTTCGAGTACGAGTATCTTAGAACATATGTAAGTATTTTGTGTGGCTGAAAATGCGAAACGTCTCCAACCAAAAAATGTCACAAAAATCGACGCGAATTTTTAGGTACTTCTAACGTTCACTTTTTGTACTGAAATCGAATGAGCTATAAGACTTCATACCCAAAAACTTTTGTGTCAGTCTGGTACTACGCAGCCATGTTTTTAACCGGCGAAACTGTCCGCCTACGTCTGCTTTCTCCGCTATTTAAAGTCGAAATTTAAGATCATTCAAAAGGTATTCCAAGCAGAAATGCTTAACGGCTAGTTATAGAGAGAGTCGATGCTGGAATATTATTTGTCAAAGATCCGGTGGAAAAACTCGATGCACCACTAGTTTATTCCTTCTGTTTTCTTCATCACTAAAAATAACTTAAAGATATAAAAAAACGAATGTGGAAAACTGCGTTCGATACTTAAATGCTTTCGTCGGAGCTAAGTACCGAGATTTACTGAATTATATGTCCTCAAATTTCAGTGCCCTCGGAAGATCATTAGAAGGACTATGAAACTGGACAATAAAACTCTCTACTCAACTTCGACAACAACTTATGGGTCTTTAGCACAATTTACCGTACCGCATTATTATTTGTTTTAAGTTGTTTATTTAATTTAAACTGAGAAAGCATCCAAATTTTGGAAACTGAAAATTCTACACAATTCGCAAGTGGGCACAGGTATTGTAGCGGAGCGGATGCTACCCTACAGGCTATTAGGGAATGCAAATTTGTATCACAATATAGCTAACAGACGAAAGAAGTTTAAAAAAGTTTAGTCTGAAAATATTTTGAAGATGGTTGCCATCTATTTAAAAATATAAATTCACATTTTTAGCATGTTAAATGAATACTTAAATAATGGGAATCATTTGAAATGCGTTTAAAAAAGCTTAACCTCTAAACTATGGGGGCTGCCACCCGTTTGAAAAGTAAAATTAAAATTAATTCATAAGTCACTTGGAATATGTGTCATTTTTAAAAATATTTTGTTGTGAAAATACGTTTTGATAGGGTTGCCACCTGTTGAATTAAAATTTTTTAGTATGTTAAATGAATATTCAAAAGATGGACAACATTTAAATGGTGTTGAAAAAGCTTCAGTTCTAAAGGTATGTATGAAGGAGGGCTGAGACCTTTTTAAAAAGTCAAATCAAATTAATTCATAATTCACTTAGAATACACATTTATCATAAAGTCAGCCGAAAGCGATTTAAGAATATTTTGGTTTGAAAATATTTTTGAAGAGTGGGTTGCCACCTATTTAAAAACTTAAATTCACGTTTGCCGTTTTAGCGCCAGGCCGGCACACTTCTGTATTAACATTGTGCTTTGCATTTTTCTACAAAAATATATAACTTTTCTCTTGCTATTGCTAAGAACTGTGCATATTTCACGAATTCCATGTTATAAAGAACGAATAAAACTATTTTTGTTACATAGTTGTTTTTTACAAAATATCAATTTTCTCTTAAGCCTCAGCATAATAAAAATGCCAACTAATTCACCAGCACAGCCACTAAAATTTTGAAAATGCTCATAGCACCGAAAAATGCCTTTAAACCAGGTTAACGATCATATTTGCATTTTTTTAATTTTTTTTTTTATTGTGCGTTGTTGCCTACAATACATGCAATCCACTCTTTTCGCTTTTCTTTAAAATGAAAAACAAGTTCGATGATTTATTGCCGCTGTTTGCATGACCACGTTGCACCAATAGCGCAATAAAGAAGCCCAAATTGGTGTTGTTCTATGCGCACTCGAGCAAACAAAAAGAAATTGCGCAAAAGAAGTATGTGTGTATGTATAACCAATGCCCACAGCGAGTGGATTTAGCACCTACATACACACACAATAGCAATTTGGTGAATTGTTTTTTTTTTGTTTTTCTAGTGCAAATACGTAACCATACATACATAGATACATTGGTATGTGTGAGATCAGTTTCGTGCAACAGCACACCTGAACACTATCATAATTCATCTAATGGCAGCGCTGCCAAACTCACCTGCAAATTGGAAACTAAAATATCGAATGCTATTGGCAAGCGTGTAGCATCTGGCAGCAACAAACCGAATTCCCCACAAAATTCTTTATCCTGGCGATGAGCTGCAAACGTAGTAGCGGCAATAACACCAGTAGCAATAGTTGAATAGCAGCAACGGCAGTTGAGTTGTGGGAGACAGGAGGCAGGTCGGGGCGGAAGCCGTCAAAAGCCGAAAACGCCGATAAAAGTAGCATAAAAACGAAAAATAAGAGATAGAAAAAAGGGCAAATACAGTAAAAAAAAAAAATGCAATAGATGAAAACGCTGAAATTTGTAGGAGCAAAATGAATTTCCGGGGGGAGGTGAGAAGCTAAAGTAATGGGCATTCCCTTAAATATTGCACAATATGGTTGCATTTACTTTATGGTCACAGCAGCTAAACTGGCGGAGTACTTTTACTCGGCATAGTAGGAGCAACAGCAACATTTACAATGTACATATGTACATACGTACAACAATGTTAACATTAATGAAATATTGCACTACAAGCATGTGTGTCACTCACTTACGCCAGCCACCATTTACCCAAAGCACATGGCCCTCATCTTACCTTCCTAACTTCTACGAGTGCGTGGCCATCTATCTCCATGCACCAGCCCCGGCATGCCGGCCGGCAACGTGTAACACTTTGTGCCATCTGCTGCTTGTCATTGTTCGGTTGGCGAGTACTAAAATGCTTAATAAGTCAGCTGGGAACGCTGTTACCACCCAAGGGACGCCTCCGTGCCCCACTCTCTCTTTTTAGCGCAAGCAATGTCTTTTGTAATTGAAACGAATGTAGGAGGCAACATTGTACAACTACTGAAATAATGCTACAATCATTCACACTGCGACTTTAGTGCATTCGACTAGCTTATGATCTAGACCAGCCACCAGCCACCAGCCGCCACCCGCCAGCCCCCTTCTTTATGGTGTAGCGTAGTGCATAGAAGAATTTTATGATCGATTGCCTGCATTTGCTTGCAAGCGATGGTAGGTGGCAGAGCGGAAGCAGTAGCCAAAATCCAATGAATGTCGAACGGCAACAAGCGGGGCGTGGCAAACGGAATACAATAAAAAGTGCAAATGCAGCAAAATTGATGCTACTCACTGGCTGTGTGGTCCCTTCCCTTTACAGCTTGACGCTATACATATACATACATACATAACAATTTCGAGAAAATTGCAAAAAGAGTATTGCTTTGGAATGATGTTGCATAAAATTCAACAAATAGCAAATAAATGCAAAGCTGCTTGCCATTTGGGTTGAGAGAGTTGAAAACAGATAAGGAAATACTCGTAAAGACAACATTTTCATTGGGTTCCGAGTACTGTTTTGAAACTTACGGAACATTTTTGGAAAGTTGATTGCACTTTGTTTATTTCGTCCTCAGAAAGATCCACATAAAACAGTTTCAAACGATATTAAAAGACAACACGAGAACTTGAAAAGTTTTGGCAACAATATTTCCGATGGATGCGATCGATAGTAGATATTTGATTAGATTTATTTTTACCAACAAAGAGATAATATAATCAATCGGGCACTCCACAGGTTTTCGAAAACTGAAAGCCTTATTACATAAATTATATTAAAAAATATGTTTCTTTTCAAAACTATAAAATCTAAAAATTAAATAAAATTAAATTAAAAAAACTTAGAAATTTAAAGAAATTTACCAAAAAAATATATATTTTTTAAGTAATATAATCTAAAAGTTAAAAGGAAAGTAGATAAAAAAGAAAAAAAAAATAACTAATATAGATAGAAAAACTTACTAAGTTCTTTAAAATTAAATAAAATAAAAAAACAAAAATATTTTTCTTTTTAAAGCCATAAAATATAAAAAGTAAACAAAAGAAAAAATTTCAAATATAAATGTAAGAAAAAATATTCTTCTAAATATCAAATGAAATTAAAAAAAAATCATTTTAAAGTAATATAACCTAAAAAATAAAAAGGAAAGTAAATAAAAAAGAAAAAAATTTAATCAATATAAAGAAAAAAACTAACAGCCCATTTCACGACCAATTTAAATGGAAAATAATTTTTATTTTCTGTCAATTCAAAAATTAAAATAATTTTTCACTTAAATTGCTTTCATGAAATTGGCGGTAAGTTCCTTAAAATTAAATTAAATAAAACAATTATTTTCCTTTTTAAAGCCTAAAAAGTAAATAAAAGAAAGAAAAATATTCAAATAAAAAGGAGGAAAAAATATCCTTTTAGATATTAAATAAAAAAATCTTTATAAGACTATAAAATCTCATAGTAAATTAAAACAAGAAAATAAGTTTTTAAAGATTTAATAAAATTTTAAAAATATGTATATA